AGAAAAATAAAAACCTAAAACCTAAGAAGCCCTTTTCGGCTTGACGTTGAGTTCTGGGACCTTAATGCCTTTTAAGCATAGTCACAACTAAAATATTATGAATATCCAATCTTCAATATGACCTGATGATGACAAAAAATTATATGTGGTAAAAAGAGCCTAAAAAAATGTTGCTTTTTGAATTTGATGTACAGCAAGTTATACATATGTAAATATAGGATTAAATAATTTAAATACATACACACACAAGATATATATATAATATATATATATATAATATATATATGAACTCAATTATATATCAAACTTCAATATAATAATCAAAAATATTTTCTCAGTACCGCTAAAAATTCCAAAATGCATTCTCACTAAACAAATAAACCCATTCACTTGTTTCATTTATTTCGCGATTTATTACGCGATTAAAAACACGCCACAATTTTTTTAAACCAATTTAATTCCTCGTTATTTCTCTCTATTTTTCTTTTAACGCGATCGCACGCGTTTCTCATCGGTGACACGCGGCCGTTGGACCGCGCTTTCGTTTCTCGCATGCCGCGCGGCGTTCGCCAGACTCGGTAGCGGTGTCAGTCGGCGGTTAGCGGCCGCTACGTGCGCTTTGGCATGGTACGCGCCGGTGACTGCTGCGGCCACTCGAAGCGGCATTCGGGGCAAAGGCACGCCTGCGTTCCGCGCTCTGGAGCGATGGAGCGACACGAAATCTACCGCGCAGGCGGGGAGGTTTATACATGCAAAAGACCGGGTGTTGGGTGTAAGGGCTGCCCCCTGGAGATTAGTTTGTCTCGTTTTTCGGCAATTGTCGTCTTTGTTAGGTAAAGGGGTAGATCAAATACGTTTTATAGTTGTAAAATAAGCATTAAATTTATTTATTTGGTCGTCGTGTATAACATGGAAGAGTTTGTGTCGATTGTAAAGAGTGTTTTTTTTGTGGACTTTATGATGCACACTGCCAATATATCAGTCTTTACTCCATGTTTTATAGAAAAAATTAATGAAGTTCATTTTTTATGATACTAGGACTAAATGTGTCATACTAGGACATTCAGTAATTGTTTCAACGTTATTATATGGCTCTTTGAATGGATAGCAACCCAGTAGTTGTCCAATCCAGTTGTGACTTATAACTATTAATTACAATAATAATTAACTATATCAATGTATTAACATTAAGAAGTTGACATTTTTATGATTATACCCATGAGAGGCGATTTTCACTTGAGATTATATTTGGGATCTATAATCTGCAACTTTTTTTATTCACAAAAATAAACTAGGAGTGTTTTATACCCCAAACTATCAAGATACGTTCAAATCAACAGCAAAAATACACGTATTTTATCAAGCCTATAATTTGCCGTTTCAACTAAATAGTTATCATCAACCATAAAAATCATTGGTTCAATCACTCTAATCTTAATAAACTTACACTAGGACCAGTGATGGAGTAGGGCACAAAGATCCATTTTACTTTCAGTATTACTATCTTAAATGAATTACAAACTTCGTGACTATGTGTTGTCATTTGAACTTAAAAATAACAAACATCTCACAAAAGAATTAATTACGTATACGATGCGTATATCTATAAATGATAATCATTTTTCATAAACTAAATACAAGAACTCAAAAACAGAAAAACCGCCACATAAACAACTTTTGGAATGGATATCGATACATTTCGGTTTATCTCCTGATAGCGACATCGTAAGAATCAAAGTGATGACTGGTTACAAACTTTTAGCCTTCTACTTTAAAATAGTGTCATTTAAAAATTCTACCCTTCAAATATTTTGGAGATAATGATGTTGGACCATTTTACACCCACCCCCCCGAGCCCCTATCTCTCTTATCCATCGCACTTTTAACTCATAAATAATACACCCATCGGTATAAAAAAACAGAAAACTCTATTTGCAGCAGTTTTTGCTATTTCTCGACGTGATTTATTTGCTACAAGAAGAACGAATAACGTTTTTTATGAAATCCAATCAAAATGCAAAAATAATTCACTCAAGCTATAATTTGTTTCTCGATGTATAAGATTAATCGTTAACATGTCGGTTGAAGCAGCATCAAACTAATTTTCAGGATATATGAAGACAGAATAATATGTAAATTAGGATGAAATTTTATGCATATGTATATATATATATATATATATGTATATGTATATAATATATATATAGCCATATAAATTTGTATATGTAAACATACGAATGGAAAAAGACAACAAACCCTGGATGTAAATTCAACATCCCCAAAAGTGGGTAGTGATCGAAGCTAGTCAGAATGCAAACAAGTAAGCAAAAATTCAGAGATGTTGTTGTTTCAAAAGATAAGGGTTAATTTGAGATAATGAATTGTTTATACAAATGAAAGAGAAGACATTATTACACTAAATTCGAAATGTTTATAGCAATTGCTAAAAGGTAATACCTGCCGGTACACTGAAATAAGCGCAGCATATAATGGAGCTGTGTTTTATTTTGAAACAGTTCTAAATA